AGTTATTTTAAGTTCTTAATTATATACGAGAAAAAAAAGAAGTGGTTATACTTATAAACCGATTACTATCGTATCACATAACACACTGTAACACGTCGATTATAATGACAAGAATATTTACCTGTGCATATTGACATATTATGGAATCACATCATTAAAACATATACTACTCAATATATCCAGCGTCAGCGACTCGATTCATTAACACCCACACCATAAACCATGCATAATATCGATAACTTGGAAGTAGAACGATCAATTTCAAAGTTAAGATCTATCTATCAAAATTGGTCTTTTTATTTCTGTTTTTATATTAATTATACTGTATAAATAATTAGGGGAAAATAATCTCATCAACACAATAATTTATCTGAACTAACAATAAACCTTTGAAATTTAATTTACATAATCTTGTATATAATGGAATCAATTTTTAACAATAGATATTAAATTAGAGTATGGATAAATATATAGGAGATGCATTATACTTCTCTCTCTTTTTTTTAAATGTAAATATATGTTATTATTTTATATACTATATAGAAAATCTAAAGAAATATCGTACTCCTCTTCGTATAAAATAATCAATTTCACAAATTGAGCTTCCTTAAAAAATTATGAATGCTTTTTTTATTTTAGCTTTTTTATATTTAATTTAAAAATAAATATTTCTCTTTTTTTATATATATGTGTATATATGTATAATTAAAAATTTTTTTAATGAACTTAATATAATCAACATTGAATATCTATAAAATTTGAAACAAATTTTTACAGATTCTGCTCAAATTAGCATAGAATAAAATTAATATATTGATCGTGCTAATTCCGAGATATCAATAAAATAGGTGAATAAGTTTACAGTGGGTGAGAATCGCATTAAAATTTTTAAAAATTCGCATTACCGGTTGTTTCGATGTATTTCGATTTAATTAAAATTAGATTTAATTCTGCTACTCGCTAAGCAATTTATTCTTACGCACATTTAATTCACATGTTTTCAAAATGCGAATTTTTTTAAATTTTAATTTGGTTTATCCTTCAATTCTATTCACCTACGCCAATTATACTATATACCTACTTACTCAGAGATACATTTTGCAACGATTATACAATTATGATCGTTGCAAGAAATATCGTTTCTGGAAAATATCGACATAAACAATTTACATACATAATATACAGAGTGATATATATATATATATATATATATATATATATATATATGTAACACCTTGTATTATTTAACAAAATAAATTTACATACACTGTATCGGGAGAACTATAGTATGTTCTCGTGTGTATAATATTCTCGAGTTTAAAAAGAGCAATATATGTTTTAACACACATATTTTTCTCTTATATATCATTTAACATTATTATACGAGACTCATATTTTGCAAATTTATAAATAATATAATTAAAATTAAATATATTTTAATTCTCAATTTAATTTATCAAATCTTATATATGTATATTTTCTGTTTTTATGCAGACAATTTTTTTAAAGAAAACTTTTCTTTGTATGAAAGATTATATTTTTCGATTTTATATTATATATATATATATATATATATATATATATATATATATATATATAGATATAGATGTATCTGATATATAAAAATTATTATTTTTCAGAGATATATTTTATTTTTTGTCTTTAAAATATTTTATAAAATTATATGAAAAATGTTCTCATAGTATATTTCATGAATATTTATATAAAACAAACATTTTTCCACGATGCAATTAAAATACACATTTTTGCCTCATATCTAACCGGACGATCTTTTTTTTTTACTCATACGGATTTCCATGACATTAATCGATCAAGCCGATCACGTGGCTATATTTTTATTTCGCGAAATAATAGAGGAGCCTACGCGATTAAAATCCAGCAATATATATCCTCGATATTCCTGCGTTTCTCCGCAAAAATGCAAAGCGAGCGTGAAAGTTTATGCAATTGTGATAAATTGCAATCGATAAGAATCACGCTTATATTATTGTGCGTTGCATATCTCGAACAAACATATACTCATCTCAGCAATTTTCATAAACAAACGGCTGATTACTACTATAATACTGTGAATTTGTACACACATTCCTATATGTTTGTGCATAATTATGTGCGCGAATTATAGATCAAATGATATTTTAACGGGTACTGAACACTGTTTTGATAATAAAAATCGTGCATCCGCGTCGCTTAAAAAAATTATTTAACGACGTATTCAAAGGATATAAAACATGAATCACTTTGTCAGACCGAAAATTGATTTTCAGATAAAATATCAAAAAGATACGGTAGAGAGCTTTATACTAAAAAAAGGGAGGAGATTTTCATACAATCTTTGTGAAAATGATACTTATAAAAAAAAGAGTCGACATATCAAATATAATATGATTTGATTTAATATATTTAATCTAACTTGCAGTTTTCATTTTGTGTATTTTTAGTCTCTTTCCTCTTTTAGTCCTTTCAAATTTTTGCTTTGTCTCTTTTAATATTGCATATTATATTTAATATATTATATTTAATAGTATATTTAATTACGAATTGAAAAATATGCATATTTTTTTTATTTAGATGAAAATAAATTCCGAAATAATGAAAGAATTAATGAAATAGTTAAAAAATATCTCCGATAGAAAAATTCAGTTAACACATTGGAGATAATTTATATTCGCAAATTAATCAAAACAACCAATTGACAGATCACACGGAGTTACATGAACAACATCTATACATATGTATTATATAATCAAACGTGCAAGCGTTGAATATTGCTAACTTGTAAGACCTTCGACAAAAACAAAAATAACAAAATCTTGATAAAAACTGCTTGAAATAGAGCTGCTTAGGCATGCCATCGATTTGCATGCTTAAAGATAGTAGTTTCGCTAGATTCTTTATATTTCACAAGCATGCGCACGTTTCTCAATTTGAACATCTTATAATATCCCATGTGATCACGTCTTATAATATATTATGTACATCTCATGATATATTAAACAATAGTTAAAACGTGAATACGTGAACAATTCTCTGTAATTCAAATACATTTTTTCTATGTAAATTAATTTTTCTAGATAGATTACCTCACATCTATTGGATCTCTTAATCACCTGTCTAATATATTGCATAATACTACAATATCCTAGCGTTATCCCGTCATGATTATATTATCAAATGTATTATCTTTCTCATATTTATTTATTTTATTTTAAATATATTTTTTTAATTTTTGAGAAATATACTCTTTATAACCTTTAAAATAAACAAAACATTTACCTCGAATAATAGAAAATCCAGGAATTTCAAAGAGAACATCCTATGTAACGTCAAGATCTCTGAACGTTTGCGTTTTCTAGAAATGGCACGGTAAGAAAATAAAACATTTGTATTTCTGCATGTATCGTCCAATCCACATCAGAATTTCTGAAAGATACGAATATAAACAATTGTTAGTTTCTATCGTAATGTACTAAAAACGTAGAAACTCAGTTTTCGGTTTACTGTCCTTTATCTTATTACGATATACAAAATATTGCCTTTTATTATAATCATTCTATACATAAAAACTGAAAGATTTAATTGCATAATAGTTTTATTATTTTAAAATATGAATATTCTCTGTTTTTTAATATAAAAATAATTTAAATAAAAATATATATTACATACTTATTAAAGCAAGTGTATAAAAGTTATCGCAGTTGTTGATAAAGATTTTTATAAATTAATCAAAATACTATATTATTAGATATATTAGTTTAATAAAAAAAATATGTATATGTATATATTTAAATATATATATATATATATATATATATATATATATATATATATATATAAAGCCTATGTGAACAGCTGTGATTACGGATGGGAAAAAGAAAGGAAAACATAAGAATTTATAGATATAGAAATTACATTAAAAATTGATGTAATATATTTTCATATTTACAATAATCGCAAATATAAGTATAATCGAGTAGTTGAATATTTGTATATATGTTGCGCTTGTAAAAATATAAAGCGCGTTTTCTTCAAAACGATTGATTATCCCATCGATATCGTTTTAAGGCCACATCTTCGAAAATTGTGATAATCTATCTCCGAAGATCAATTTTAAACAATGTATATAAATCTAATGTCTACTCACCGAAGAAATTTTAATTCAATATCATTATCATTGTCGCTAATAAATCCGCTTTTCATAATTTATTCTCATTGATGCAACGAATACATTTTGAAAGAATCTCTAAAATGCTTTCATTGAAAGCGATTAATCTTCAAGGATGTCTTCGGATTTTTTAATAGGCCACAACTTCTCACGCACAAGCGTCGTCCTTACAAAAATTGAACTTTTTGTTGACGAAGATTTCCATTATGTGTAGAAAAATACAGAGTATTTGCAAAGCCTCTGCTTATTTTATATAAACGTCTTAATTTTAATTCTTTTTTTAATTTTATAAGGAGATTTCAAACAGGACTGTTGAAATCGGCAACTACGATAAAATTCTTGAATAATTGAAGATTTTTTTTAACTCTATTAACTTGTTAAAAGAACTTTAATCTTTTTTCTTTTCTTCTCTTTTACTTTCCTAAAAAGTATTTATCTAAATTAATAATATAATTAAAAAAGATAATCAGTTATTTATTTCAATAATGTATACGATATTTATTAAAGTCATAAAATTTATTTTTTATAAAATGGAAGATACCGTAACTTTTATTTAACATAATTTAGTATAATATATATACAACATATAATAATCAATTTAAAAAAAAACTTTATAAATATCCCATACATGAAACTCAATAATGTTGTTTTTTTGAGAAATTTGTCATTAAAATTAAGGATTGTGACATATTAATATGTTTAACTGTACAAGAGAAATAATCTTTATATGCGAGAAATTCTTTATATTTATAGATTGTATTTTATAATAATAATTTCAATTAAAAAATTACTTTTTTTATTAAAAATAGCGAGGAATGAATGACATAAAAAAAATTTAAATACTCGATCGTCTTAATCATTGGTGACCTTTTTCAATTACCTATTTATCAAATTTATATCGTATAGTTTAATATGTTGTTTCAAAATTTTTATTTAATTTTCACCTTTTGTCATGATTCAACTGTAGAGAAAAATTTTGGTCTGAAATATCTCTCTTAATATCATCTTCGCAAATATATAACCATTATTACAAGCTGCACCAGCAATATTATTTTATTCATGCGGACGATATTTTTCAATTCATGACGATTCATATCAAACGAAGCACGAAAGCTTGTCGAACAAGATATAAAATTTCTTTGGACAATCGGAGAATAATCATAATCCCTTTTTTATTAAAAATGCATCATCGTGCCCTTTCCACCTCTCGTAAGGCTTGGCTCGGCACACCGGGAGGCAGGGGACCCGGTTCGCCTCCTCTGGCTTCGAGATCGTTGCTGGCAGCTTCCGAAGCCTTGAACCGTTTGTATTTTCCTGCAATATCAGAAAATTTATGAATTTTATTAGAATTATAAAAAGCACAAATCAATAACTTCTCAAAATGTAATTTACGATCAATTTTAAATTATTATAATAATTATAATAATTATTAATTATTTTTATATCAGAGATATACATCAAAGAAGATATACGTTAAATTATGTATAAAATCAAAGTTAGATGATTAATATGTGCCTATTACAAATAATTTGTAATTGATCTTGAATACTTCATACATATAATATTTGGCAGTTAGGCGTAATTTTATTTCGATAAATGATCAGAAGACTTACTAGCTAAACGGACCATGATGACGCCCCACCAAATACTCCAGCCCCATCCAACGAGGCAAAATAGAACAGTAAATAATTGACCAACACCCACAACAAGATTGACAATAAGTGCACCCAGTCGTGACTTTAATCCAGCAACGGGAGAGAATCGCGGCTGTCCGGTACATAAATCAAATAAACCGCTCCAAACAGTTCCTAAGTGAAAAAAAGAATTAGTTATATAAAAAAAAATTTAATATTAAAGAAAAAAATCACTTGTAATTGAAAATTTGCAAAATTGGAAATTAATTTCTTGAAAGAATATTTTTTTCATGAGAAAGTAGCATTAGGATTTAAATTCGTACCAGTCCCTGGTAATAAAATATTCCATATTAGGCAGAACCAGGCGAGAGGAACCGGGAGGCAAGGAATGGCGCCACGCATAACAGAATTGTACTCCACTAAAACATCTGGTAACTTGGCCTTTGGTTCCTGCGATATATTGCACATCAAGTTCTCATGTTATAAATAAGAAACACGACCTAAGTGCGTGTCTAGGATATTCTAAGTAGATTAAACTGCTTCATTGTATTTTACATTCAAGGCACTTATTCGAAAATAATAATTAATCTCTTCCTTCAATTAAAGTTGTATATTTATTTCTTTTATTTAAATTTGATATGCAGTTTTTTAAAATATTAAAATTAATAAAAAGGAATAAAAAAAAATATTGCAATTCTATTACATACGAATAACAGTAAGATACAAAATATTAGCTTATTTTGTTCGATAAGATTTCAATTCTTCAATATTCACGTACCTCAGATAAGGGTGGCGGCACTACACTTGTAAGACTGTGCTTGGCACGTGTATTTTTTGTGCGTTGTTGCGTGTCCGCGCGTTTGCAACTGCAACAGCCGAACACGCGACGACAAATCGCACCACATCTTCTCTCCGGTGGACAGCAAACGGTAGACTCGGCAGGAGCGACTCTGGATTTTCTTGTACAACACTTGATCTCTTGTAATCTAGAGCATCTGTTGGAAAAATATATCGCACGATGCAATTTTTATTTTCATCCTAAGATCCGTCAAACAGGGAAGCTACAAAATCTCTTAATAACTAAAATAATACCCAAGCTCAAAAATCGCCGAAAAGTTTCTAGAAAATTGATAAGATGTCTCAATGATTATTAATTATATTAGTAATATCTAACGAAAAATGCGGTAGAAAATTTTGAAATTGAGATTAAATTATCGAAGGATAAATCGCAATTCTAAAAACTTAAAATCGATATAATAACAAAGTAGAACAACATAGATAGTAAAGCGAGATTACAAGAACCAAACCAACCTGAAAAATTCAGTAAATAAGCTCAACAAATAAATTAAGCAAGTGATAATAAATTACAAAATGATAAAAAAGCATTCGTAGAAAATATTTTTTCACAATATTCCTATTCGTATTGCGTCATTTCGTGCCCTCAAATTATTTTTAAAATAATAATATACATGTAATAACCTGATAAACGCATGCGATTGAAATTCTAATTGTGGAATAACAGTTCTTCACCTGCATCGCGATTTCAGTTTCGACCAACAGGACAACGTGTTTGTCGCAGGTGATGGTGCAACCGGTGGCGGAGTATCGTTGATCACCATCGCTCTCTTTTGATTCCTGGTCCATAGAAAACTCTTGGGGTCTCTGCGACAAGCAAGGCACCTCATGCCAGAGCAGCACTTGGAGTACTGACTCAGAGATCTTCCCCAACGTGTCAATAGCTTTTCACTAGCTTTTGCTTGTTCCTTTTCGTTGCAAGAAGCCAGGACACTATGATAGAAACGTGATATTGACATTGAAATATCTGGCCAGTACTAAATATTATTATATTTTACAGAAAAATCTAAAGAGAACATAATTTTAATTTTTCTAATTTTTTAAATAACTTAGTTTATATATTTATATGTATCAGTGGTGTTTATGTAATAATATATTTTAATACTTTTTCTGTAAAACATCTAACAAATTTTTTATATTACTATACAGGAAAATATACTTTATTATATTTATAACTCTCTATGTTAAATAGAATTTTATAAAAGTAAGGGAGATCAAAAAATAGGGATCAATGATTCATATATATTTTATTTAATTGACTTTATGTAATTGACTTGCAGCAAAAATGTTCAACTATTTAATTCCGAAAGATTATTATTGATTTTGCATTAGCTGCATAGTTATTAGCACTTATATACATCTGTATACGTATGAGTCATGTGTAAAATGTACAGTCTATGTATATAATATCAGAAAGTATTGATTACATTTAGCTATAGATGAAACGGTCTAAATTATTCATGGGGCATAATATTTGAATTGAATTAAAAACGTACGCCGAAAAAAAAATGTAAATTTTATCGGAGTATTAAATCGCACTTTACATTACTACAATAGTGGGTACTAAATGTGTATGAGTTTGACTCAGTTTATATCTATTTCCCCCAAATATTTCTTATTCTTATAAGTTAAATGGATAAACAATAACTGCAAACCACTAAATGCGCATTAAAAAGAGCAGGCATATTTACTGCGGTGTGAGGTATATGTTTCGTGACTCGATCACCCATGGATCAAGCTGCGGTAGACGAAAAACGCAAGATCCCTCACATAGCAGATTTAATCACATCACAAAAACCGCATACACCTCAGAGCCGCGCAGGTCTCATCCCTCTGTTCGCGCATGCAATCATAGTCCGGAAAAGCTCTTACCTAAACACAGCTCCTTCGCAGGATAGAGAATCAATTTCCAGAAACTCGGCTGGCCCAGAAGATCGGTAGGCGTCGACGGCGCGATCGCGAAACTCGAAATTGCGATAGACACGCGTCTGATAAATTAGTGAAGGCAGGAAAAAAAACATCGGCGATGGAATAATGACGAAAATAACCAGAGAGATCAAAGATCGCGGCGATAACAATTCGCGATGACTAACGATGGCGAAAGGATCGTGACGTTACGTCTGTAAGTCAACGAGTGGCCATCACCAGCGGCCGTTCTCAGGTGACTTCGGTCAGTGATTGCGGTTACCGCAGTCGCGGCAAGACGTGGCCACGAAGGGTGGCAGGCGAGGGTAGAGGTAAAGTCGGCTGATCCCGCGCGACCGGTCACGCGAAGATTTTCAATCCCCTTCGCACCCCCGACCCTCGGAGCTAGTTAGCTGACTGACCACGAAATCGATACGCGCGACACGAAGTTCTTTACCTTAACCGGTCGGTTTTCAAGGCGGACCCGCCGCGACCGCGGCCGATTTTCTCCCGACGCGTGTGTCGCGGCGACGCGCGTGTCGGCCGGTGACTATATCACTGGAGCTTTAAAGTTGCGCTTGTAATTCGTCGTCACCTTAACCCTTAACGAGAGCGAGCACTTTCGCTGATCAAAAGAAGGCTGATCGCTATCGAATTTTTTATGAGTTTATTTTTAGATTAAAATTATTCCGAGTTCTCTGAAGGATAATGATATTTGTTATTCTAATCATAATGAGGAATATGTGAGCAATGTTCCAAATACAAATGTTCAACAGTATAACAAATCCTTGAAGATATAAAGAAATGCATTTAACAAAAGCTTAATCTCGCGATTATTTTAAATACATCGTATTAATATAATCAGATTTTTTTCAAAATTTGATATCATTTATCGTTTACATATAATAATTATATAGTTTTTAATTTTATATACTTAAACTTTAAGTAAATTATTTCATTAATTAATTTTTATCATTCTTTTATCTTTTATCTCGGATTTATTTTATCTTCTCATAAGTTATAGTAAACTGACTAATACCCAATTCTATTCTCGCGATGTTATCATGCGGGAAAAAATTATGCGACAGCGTTCTGCGTATGTTAATAAATTGCGTTTACTGCACTCAATATGACATACTTGTTATACATTTTCACAAAAAAATTTTACTGCATGGAAAAAATTTTCTATATTGATACGAGATGTTTCATTGTTTATTCAAAAGAAATATGATTCAGATTCTTTATCCTAAATCTATTTTAAATTCTTCAACAAAGAATCAAATCTGACAAGTGGCATTTTTATCACCCGCATTTTTGTTCATCTCAATCATGCAAAAATTTATTCCAAAATAAATGTATTGCATTTCTCTAAACAGAAGTGTTAGAAATCAATTTGCCATGAAAAGGATTAATCCTAGTGGCATACTAAAGATACATTGATCGGATGATTACACGGCTGCATCACGATTCACGACACGCTAGACAAAACCATTAAAAGTTATACGTGTCTAAAAGTTCGTATCTACCAATTGCGCGGTTGATTAAAGGGAGAAAGGGAAAGCAGCAAAAGTACGCGGCTGAAAGTTTGCGCAAAATGAGGCATCATTAAGCACAAATACCGTGGTCTACTTCGACTTACAATTAAATAATTTTACCGAACACTTTCCCTCATAATCGCGTCGTTAATGGGAGCAGGGAAAATCCGCGCGGGGATTGTCCTGGGAATTAAAACGATTTTCGGTTGACTTCTGCATGTGCATTGTAAGATGAAACTTGCATTACCCGCAACAGGCGTAATTAATTTAATTAATTTCTCAGATCGTACAATCTCGCGCATATTACCGCAACAATGCGTTCGTTATATCGAAAATAACGCGGTTTACTTTTCGTTGCTTTCTTATTTTTCGTCATTACTTTCTTCATTATTGAAGAATATTTATCTAACTCTTAGATTTAAATCTAGCACGTATGTAAATTAGGTCAATATTGTTGTTAGAATATTTAATTATGTAACTTATAAAACTAATATTTTCTTAAAAATATTTTTTTAGGTCAGAAAAGAATATATGTATAGTTTTAAGCTTGGAATTAAATATTAGGTCAAATACAAAGTAAGTTCTCAAAGTATTAACAAAATATGAGATATCCAGAAATCAATAAAACGTGAAAAATATTACAAAAATGGTGTGATTGCAGCCAAGTTGCATGCGAAACGGCTCTTTCCGGAAGGTAAACTCGGACGCAATAAAATGCATGCCATACTTGAGATTTACGGCAGCGGAATCGTTTCGTGTCGCGCGAGCGGCATTATCATTCGCACAAATTTTAATAACTGTCGTGATAATAAAACCATAGTTCGTCGCGTTGCCTTGTAAAATGCCGCTTGTATCGTGCCGCATAAATCCAACGAGAGCAGTGCTCCTGAAATTTCTCTACGCATATAAAAACAAAAAGGCATAAAGATCGAAAAGGCATAAAGACACGCGATTACGACACCTTAATATTAGCGTTTTGATAATTATCTTAGTATGTCAATCTTACCAAAGAAGTTTTTTTTAATTACTATTTGAAAATTTTATCTTATATATTCGACAAGTTACAAAAGTATTTTTTATTTTGTTATAAAAATTGTTTCTTTCTCTTATTAATTCGAAAGCTTTATTTAACAATCGAGAAAATATAGATCTCTAAGTTTAAGGACAAAGTATAAAAAGAAAGTAGTGTAAATTAATATTTTATAATGTGTAAAAGCATAAGTGTTTATCCGTTTTCTTTTTGATTAAATTCTTGAATGCAATTCTTTAATGCAAATGAATACCTCTTGCAATTTCATGATTCTAATTGCTGCATGCAAATAAAAATACGCGCAAGCATCATTTATTTATAGTCCCATATGATGCTATCTACGAGTTAAAAATAATTTTTCTATTGATAAACTGATGTTTAAATCGACGTATTAATATTTAAAAACAATAGAAGAGAAAAGATAAATAAAATTGAAATATTCAATCCTGTCACATAAGAATATATATACGAAAATTTATCTTTGACATGTATATTAATTATCTTATTAATTGTCAAATTTTAAATGTTAGATAAAACCACTCAACATACAGATAGAGAACATTAAATCTTCTTACGATCTTCATATTGTGCAGAAATTAAAAACTGTTCTTATATTTTTATTAACATTGCAAATCAATCCACTTATCTACATACTATATTCTACATACTATATTCTGTTGTTAGTCGAGGATACAGAATGCAATTAGGCTAATCTAAAAGAGTGATTAAAGGAATGAAAGAACTGGATTCAAAGAACGTGAGTGTATAACGCTATGCAAATTACATTAAAATTCGTTTCGCTCAATCTTTAATAACGTACTTTCGCATTTAATATTTTCGCGTTGTACGGTGTATACCGTAACGTTTTCCACGCGCTATCAAAGATTAGCGGCTCAATTATGTCGAATTGTGGGAAATGGGTTACTAGTTTACATAAAAAAACACAAAAGTGCTTTAATAAAATGAAAGAGACGTATGTGCAATCATAGTCAAATTATATATAATAACTTATTTAAGCACGATGTATAATAGAATAAAACAAGCTTTTATATGCTTATATTAATATTTATATGTTGCTGTAATAATATTAAGACAGTAATGGATAATTATACAAAATTATTGAATAATATGTCTTTTTGTGTTTTTCTAAATTATTTCTTAGAAAGTTCCAAATAATTATTATTTTCTAATTATAAAAAAATATATATATTGTTGTAAATATATATTGTAATATATATTGTTAGTAATAAATAATATAATAATAATTAATAATTTCAAAAAATGATTTTGATATTTATCTTGTTAATAAAAAATTTAGAAAATGATATATTTAATAAATATTTAATTAATAAATATTAAATTAATTCTTTATAGTATTATATATATGCTGTGACTAATATAAAATAAATTTTTAAAATAAGTTTTTAAAATAAGTCTGTATAAATATCAGAAAGAAGAAGCAA